TTTATTCTATTGTTTTGAATTGTTAGGGAAAAATTGTATACAGTTTACAACTAGAAACGGATATAAAACTCAAGTTTTTGAGGGACGAGGTGGCCGAGTGGTCTACCACGTCGGCTGTGGCTCAGCCGGACCGGGTTCGATCCTCGACCATTGGGCGGCATTTTTCTCCGGGCAAGTCACAGGTGTCCGGAGAACAAGTGCCGCCATCCCCCACTCCGGGGCATGGCAGAAACCTACGGGTGCCCCAATAGAAATTCTACCAAAACTCTCACCCACGTGTAAAACCAACCTACAGTTCCATAAGAACCTACAGTACTACCCCCTTCCCAATGGCCTTAGTTGCCACGGGATACGGGATAATAAAAAAAAAAAAAACTCAACTTGATTATAACGCATCGAATGTCAATTTTTAATGTTCATATAACATTTTTTTTAACTGAAAAATAAAATAAATACAAATAAAATAATTTTAAATTGTGACGTGGTTTATTTCTAAATTAAAACATTAAAATAGTTTATAATTAATTTGGTAGTATTTCAAAAGTGATTGACGCATCCAGTGATTATTATTCATTGATATTTGTTTAAATTGTTTTTATTAACCTATCATAATTTCCCTCACAACCAGTCAAATCTAAACCATCGATTTTGTGGTAAATTAAATTTTTCAATTCAGTGGCAAACATCCGTGGTTGATGATATAAATATAGGAAACCATGAAGAAAAATAATTTAATAATAATATAATGTATAGTCGGTGGCGGTGGCGCTGTCGGTGTCTTTCGTGGAGCGTTTCTTTTCATACTTCTCTCGTCGATCGGACGGGACTCGCGCGGTTAGGATAATTAGATATCAAGCCGACGGGATTAAAAATATATATATATATATATATATACGAGAAAAACGAAAACGACGAGAAAAAAGCGAAACATTTCAAGTACATGATAGTATGATACACAAAAGGAGTGGAGAAAAAGAACGAGTAATAATAATGATAAAAAAAACCACCAAACTGTTTACCCTTGAGGGTCTTTCGAAACAAACGTGCAACCTAACCACCACATAATATACCTGTGCAGCGGTTGCATACTATATGCGTCCCCCCCAAAAAAGTAAATAATTAAGCGGGTAATATATTTAAAAGCTTTAGCAGGGTGCGAATCAGCAATAGCAAAATATAATACAAATTATCAACTTCAATCGTGTTTCCTACAAAGTCGATAATCATTGTTGTAGAGTCTATAATATAATGTAAAAATATTAAATGTATATAAGTAAAAATATTTTTATGAAAGAAATAGAGCATTTGAAAAAATTAACTATCAATTCTAAGAATTCATTAAAATTATATTTTATATAATAACCACCATCGTACAATTTATTTTTTTATCAGGTTATTGTTCAGTTTCAATTATTATGATCGCCGTTTATTACCATTATTATTAAATTTAAGTTTCAATCATTGAACAAAAACATTTGAGACCTTAGCCTATGCCCACCTAAATAAGTAGGTACTACCTAGTTGTGTATTTAAGAGGATGTAACACTAGCATTTGTTATCTCCGTCTTACAAGTGCGTAACATAGCAAATTTATATTCAGTAGATTTTATGGGTAACTTAGTTTAAAAATTAGAGTCCAACGACCCACTATGAAACTTGATGTTAATAATATTATATATGTTTGTATATGTATTTTTTTTACTATGATCCATTTTTTAAACAACTTTTTTATATAAAATATAGGGTAAATTAAAAATGTTCATAACTCACTTAAATTTGCTATGTTATGTACTTGTAAAACGGAGAATATAAACTCCAATGTTACGTTTTCTTAACTATTGTGTATTTACTTAGAACCGCGACATCGCGTAAAATTAGATATGAACTTTACATTCCTACTTTAAAATTTACTTTTTATGATCATTTTATTATATTTATCATAACATTTCTGTGTCTTTTCTAATACAATATAATATAGCAGAGGAAAACGATTTGATACTATTCTGATTGTTAGATTTAAGAACTGATATTTTAGAGGTCGGTACCGAATTGATTCCTGAGCCTAAATCTTACATGCCAAATTAGTTTCCGTTTGAAAAAGTTATTTTATTAAGTTGAAAAGAATTGGTTTCATTTAAAAACAGGTGTTTTATTAGTTAACGCTGAATTAGTTCCCGTTTAATCATGCACATTTTCCGGGCGTATATCGATTCCGACGATTTTATATCGATTCCGCCGGCTACTGTTTATCCCGCCCTTGTAATTAGTAAATGTAGTTTTTAAATTACAGTCCTACATAATATACTTTATAATATATAAATTATATATAAATTAATAATAATTGTATACTAATTAAAACTAAAATGTATAGTCTAATTTGTATAAAATAATAAAAATAAAACGAGTCAATATAGGAATTTTAATTTATTCCGTACGTATTGCTGTAAATCGTATATTTCCTATATATTACCGACTCTGTATTCTACTATATAAAATACATATTCAAGGGTGGGGGATAAACAGTGTCCGGCGGAATCAATATGTAAATAATATTAACAGTAGCCGGCGGAATCGATACAAACCTATTTTCTAAACAGGTAGTTTCGGCGGAATCAATAATTCCCCACATTTTCCTTCTCAATTTTATAAGCTTAGGACTGTCAACTTCAAAGAAGGAGTGATTAAAAATGTATTAATTTACTAAAATTTCAATTCAACAATCTATTTACATTGTATTGTATATACTGCACGTAAATTTTAATTATATTAATATTTTATACTATTTAGTTTATAATATGTTTTATCAATCATTCAAAATTCAAAATTCAAATTTTAACTATTTCACCTAAACGGGAACGGTAACCAATTTGGCTCTACCTAATAAAATGCCTTTTTTAAACAGTAACCAATTCGGCTCAATTTAATAAAATACCTTTTTCAAATGGGAAGCAACTAGGTTACTCCCACTTTAGCATTCATTAAAAATATATTACTCGTATTTTATATACGAGTAATATATTGTTATTATATTGTAAATATAATAATAATAATTAAGATACCTATCGATCGTGATATTCTATAGATGGTATAACTAAGTTTCAAAAAAGGCACGCTTAGACTCAAATCTCCTATGACTAACTCATATTTTTTTTTAATTCGGACGCAACTTACATTCTGAGTAGAATAATTTAGAGTACGTGTTTAAGATAAACCTTATACGTAGTGTAACCATGCGTGTAATGTATTCGAATGCGATTGAGCCGTGATGTGTGCATAGCAATGGCTTAATTCAAAAATTGTATACGTTTGTGCAAAATAATGTTTTTACACGAGCGCTAATTTGTGCTTCTTTTTTTTTAATTTGCATGTATGACAGAAAAGTTTAGATATAATTTATTTATATTTAGGTAATTGTTTAAATATACGTCGTTTATTTAAGAGCCCTTTTGATAGTACTACATAACAAAAATGAACAAATATAATAATATACTTCAAAATTGAATTCTAGCCTTTTTAAATTTTAAACTGTGCTCGACACTTTAAAAAAAGTTTTGTTAATGTACTTATGACATATTATCTAAACAATATAGGTGTTACGTAACAGTATTAACTATGAATCGAAATCGATGTGCTACCATCATGGGAGTAATGTCGGCAATTGATTTAGGGGGGGGGGGGTCATAATAATTCAGGACACAAATATTACACCCCTATACGTACCTTGTATACATTATTATACGTTTACACGTATAATGTATTCGGATGCGATCGAGCCGTCACGGTCGTCTCCGGTACTGTGTGGCATAGTTAGTAGGTATATTATTGTTTAGTTGCCACAGTTGTACGTTTAACATTCACAGGACACGGGATCGTGCTTTCGCCGGTGTACGGTAATTAACAAACCTTGCAATGGTCAACACTTTGCATAACCCTCTTGCAGTTAATTAACGGTCACTGCTGTGTATTATCATAATATCCTATCGGAATTCAGCCCGTGAAGCTTGCCCCTTATAAACATATTATTAAATATTTGTGAGTTTCGGTTCGAATTCGAGGTCACACAAAGTCGTGTTCATAAGCAAAAATTCAGATGTGCTTTTATTATTTTTGTTGTTATTATTGACATAATTAAGTACCAATATGTTTCTACGGACATGATTTATAAGAATACATTTAAATATTTACAATTGTCTAGTATTTGTTACAATAATAATAGGTATAAATAATAGTTATATGTATTTTTAGTATACTGTGTGAATCACAAAGATTTACAATATTTTAATTTGAACGTTAATTATATTTTTGTGATACATTATCTATATACATATTTCACTGATTTGTAGTGAGGTGGTTTTTTTTTTTATTGTATAATATTATGTTACTACTTACCTATAATTTATAAATTAAATAATATTGTACATCAGATTTTACTTATATAATACGAACTTAAAATTATGATAATAACGTAACTATTTTTTTACATGTAATAATAAATAACAACATAATCCTTGATTATATTATATAAATGTAGTAAAGCTATAATATAATATTGTTTTATGCTAAAATGATAATAACATATTTATTTTATTTTTATTTTAATGAAGCCTCAACAACAAAGGTTATTGGCTAATAACATGTTATAACTATTAATAATGCATGGTAGCATTATAAGTTACAGTATAATTACCATACATTTTTATATCTTTATCATGTTTAATATTTTCTACTCATTAATTGAAATAAACTACACAAAATAAAATATTTTATTTATTATATATTACAAAATATCGCAGTAAAAAATAGTATAATGATACTAATAAATAATAATAATTTAACACTTTTCGTGGGAAAAAAACATTTATTCTTAATATTAAACTTTACCTTTTGATCTGTAATAAGAATAATTATTAAAAATGTAAAATACAATCTATTTATTACTATTTTTAAACTTTTCATTGAAACGATAGCTTACATGATGGTTAATAAAGATATAGGTAATGAATAATATTTTCGTGATCAAAAATATATTTCAGTTTGAAATTTATTTAAAAAACGTAAAAACAATAATGTTTACGAAGAGCTAATAATGTATTGAAGGCTTCGAAAATATAACTAAAATTTACTTAGCATCAAAGTCCATAAGTTATGTAAAGATGTATAGAAAAAAGATTTTCTTCGAGGATATGTAAACTGATATGTGACGAAAATAMATTTATTCTAATATTCAATCAAATAAACACATGACTGTAATATAATATCAATATTATTTACACATTTAAATAAAAAATTACAGCATTTATGAAAAACAGAACATTACCTACCTATGTGGTTAATGATTCAAATTCGCTGGAAACCACACACGTGTACTCAACGTCCAATTGTGTTAAACGCCACTTTTGAGGTTCGTTTAATTGCTTTTGCTTCAGTAGTTAATATATGGAAATAGTTAAAACAATATTTATAAAGTTATAATTATTATATAATTAATATATTTAATCAATAGTATTCGATAGACACAGTGTTTGGCCGTAATAAACGACGATGTTTTGGACGGTTCTATACAACTGAATCACAACACCAAGTCATGCAAGAACGAACCGGTCGACGTGAGGACCACCGCTGCAACCAGGACTACAGTCGTGGTAACGTCAGTGTGGATCTTCGACGGGGTGGCCACAGACGTCTGCAGGCACTTTTCAACGACCGTGGAGTCAACGACGGCGATGGGCTGTCCGTTGAGCTCCAGTGGGGAAATGCAATAGTTCTTGCCGGTGAAAAGATCTCGGGATTCGTTGCCGAATGGGTAGTCGTCCAGGAACCGGAACAAGTGACAGTCGCACGGGAAGTGGTTGCCAACCACTGTAAACCCATCGGAGGCGGCGGAAGCGAGCCCCGAGAACGAGCCCCGTCGTGGGCTGTCTAGCACGTGGTTTCCGTTGAACCGGAAGTGCCGTATACGGTTGTCCCGGGCCACAGCCAGACTCTGCACCACATCGATCTTGTTATTCAACAGGTTGAGACTGCCGACGTGCGCTAGGCCCGTGAACGCGTCCACCCGGATTACGCCCAGGTCCGAATCCTGGATAGACAACACGTGCACGTGGCTGAGACCACGGAACGTGTACGGCTTCAATGACGCCAGATCCATGAACGACAGCTTCAGCAGGCCCACCGAATCCAGGCCATTGAACGCATCGGGCTGCAGCTGCTGGATGCCTGACGGCAGGATGAGGTGTTCGACATTGGTTAGACTGGAAAATGCATTAGCCGACACCTACATCACACAAGGTACAAACAGGCACATAGAATTTTACATTACGAAAATTGAATTAATGATACACTATTGAAATATTGTTTCTATCTCTCATTATCTGATTATTGACACCTATAATTAGATTTGTTGTTGAAATGTGATTAAAAAAATACGAGTAGCATACAAGTCAATATTATGATTACGATACACCAAAAAATGGACCTTTGACTAGTGATATAACATGTAACTAAATTTTTTATTCAAGCCCCTGATTAGAAAAAAATATAACACGTTCTTACTCTTTAGAAATAAATGCCAAATGGAGCTATAAAACTAAAGTTTATAAATGACTTGGTTTACTACACAACGTATACCTAAATGATTAAATTATACGAAATCCAACACTTAAATACTTTGAATAATAATAAAAATAAAACACATTAATATTTAATAGTTACAAATTATAATACGTATTTAATTTTTCTGCCGGGTATTCGCGCAACATAGAGTGCTTTATTTTCTGAGTATTGAATAATACTAATATCAGTGTACGTTTAAGACATCATATTATTCACAGTAGTTTTATATTAGTTTTGTAATAGTTTTTTTTTTTTTAATATTCAAATAAATTTAAAATACTTTTCATATGTTCAGTAAAATTGTGTCATTTTTCCGCGATAAACTCAGAGATTATATTATTAGTACGAGGTAAAAACGTAGGTATCTTTTATGTCTTTTGTCTTTTATTCACCCGGTTAATATAAAATTCTAATTTATCTCGTCGATAAATCGAATGTTCGCCTATGTCATGCCAGTAATGATTATTATTAAATATTTCCTATTAATCCTTATCAGAGCAGTCTAAGGGAAAATTGTCTACAGGCGGCCGGTCTAAGGTGCTCACCGTGTGCAACGGGTTGTTATTTAGCAGTATGAGCCTGATGTTGGCGGTACCGGCAAACGCGAACTCATGTATGACGCTTATCTGGTTGTACCCCAACAGAATGGCCGTCACGTTCTGGAGGCCGGCGAACGAGAACTTATCGAGCGACTCGAGTGGTGTGTGCTGGATGGACAGTTCCCTGAGCCGGACGAGTCCGCGAAATGCGAACCGATCCACCCGGTGTATGCCATTTGCGTCCAAAGTCAGCTTTCGCAAGTGCCGGAGACCGGTAAAAGCGTCGGTGGGCAAATACGTCATGTTATTTTTGGTGATCGAAAGGTGTTCGACGGTCTTGGGTATGTCGCGCAATGGCACGAACGTCAGGTGTCCGGAGTTGCAGAGTATCTGAAACGGAACGGCGCGTGTATTTATAGACAACATCAATTATCGTCTTTAACAAATTGTTTACCGATGTTTATTATAAGTTTTGGTTAGGCTCTATGCAAAAATAAACTAAATTTAAAACGTTGTTTTCTCAATGTCAAAGTTTGTAACTACCCATCCATAACTCCAGTAGAATAAATATGCATAATCTTAACACTATAATAGGTTAGGTAGCAAATATTGTATATTAATTAAATTTTCTTTGGTCTTAATAACTTAATTCTGTTTTAATATTATAATATAATTATTATTTATTTTATACTTCGGATAATTAATAATATTAAAATGTACAAATCTATATTCGTATCATGCCTCATCTATAACATTACACACACACACACAATTGTAATTGTTTTTGTAAATATTCCATACGTGGATTATAATATAACATCGGCGTAATCTATTTTCATAATTCCATTGAACATTCAACTTCAGTATTCCCAATATAGTTTGTAAAATGTTCTTTTTTTACATAACTTTAACTAATCATATTGTAAAATTTCAAAACTGCATATGTGGATTTCATATAGTATTATCTAATGTAATATTAGTATTATAAATACCATAAGCTCTAATTGTTAAATATAATACATAATATAATCACTTAATAGTAAAATAATATATTATATAATTCAGATTTTAGACAAAAAGTGTTTTTGACTAGAAAGTATTATATTGTATTATAATGTCATTGAATTATGCTGAAATAAATATGCATAAATATGCATTTGGATTTAGTAATACATTTTATTATGTATTTATTATAAATACTGAGTAAAGGATTGTTTATTATTATTACAAATATGAATTGACTATAATTCTCAACAAACCATTATCTAATTATATCTAATAATTTAAATTTGAATTTATTGCTTACTCATTTATTACTTTATTGTTTAACACAAATAGGTAATCTAAACAAATATGTTTCTATTTTTATGGACTAAAAGAAACTCACAAACACCTACAATGTAGGTTTTTTTGTACACCTATATATGTAGGTCCTACATACATAGGTGTACACAAATACTCATCATGACGCTAACGTACACACTCAATTTCGCCACGTAGGTAATTCATCAATATTTTAAAACATTTTCTCGGCAATCCCAACCATCACCACTACTGATTGAGCTCCTTATATAGCACACAGATTGAATACGGTATTACGGTTCCAATGTCCCATTCCACTGTTTACTCTTCGTAGTTATTTTATTTATTAAATGTACACAGGTATAGGCCCATCACTTAAATATAAAGACCATATAGTTTAGGCATATGTCTATAGTCGCTCTACAAAGTTAGCTGGTGTATCCACCACAAGTCATATCACTATACCTACCATCCAGAAGCGGTGGTTTAAGAGTATTATATACAAGACAAATAGACATCCTTCATTCACCCTCCTCCACCACCATCTCAGATGAATTACTAATGAAAGTAACTGTCAACTGTATAATATAATTTATCTAATGGATTTTAATTACGATTAAATAATATGACGGCACAATATTATTGATTGTTATCATACATTTATCAACAAAACAAAGTTTTCTATAGGCAATTTTTAAATTATAAATTAATTAAGCATAGACTTGTACATGGGCCGTACTCTGAAGTGARGGGCGATGAAAATGATAATTATTTAATTTTAATATTTAATAATATTTCTTAAATAAATAATTATTCATAAGATTTCATAATCTGAGAAATGTTGTGATGGTTGAAACTTTAATTCCCTCTCCGTAAACTGTCTTATAATTAGATACGTATCTATTTAAATTAAAAGCTGATGTCACGTTATTTTTTTGAGGTTGGAAGCGTTTTAGTAAAAACATACATTTAATTCACAACGAAATAGTTCCAAGTGACATAAAATATATTAACAACCAAAAGGTTCTATGTGAAGAACTTGTTAGTTCTCATCAGAAATTGTTTAAATTTTACTTTGAGTTTTGACTAAACACTAAACTAAAAACAAATTTCTGTCGTAAATACATAAAAACATTACATTTTTAGATGTGCTAATCATTCATTACAAAAATTGATAAATAATCATTACAAATTAAATCATTACAAATTCATTTCAAAATCATTCATTACAATCTCAAGTTTGTAATGTTTGAGGTCAAATAATGAGTTCACTGCACTAGTTTTATAAAGTGCATACGCGTTCATATACAGCACTTGGTTTTAAGCCTTCGGCTAGACATAATGTAGTCTGTAATAATTGTAATAATAAATTAGTGATTTGTATCATATTATAATTCATATACTAGTATTTATATGTATTTATTATGAACAGCCCATTTTAAACATAACAAAGTTGAAAATAGTTTTAAATGGCTCTCCTGAATAATTTAATATTTTAAGATAACACCTTTTTGATTTTGAACCTAGAATATCTCAATATGCTTTATACACGCACCCGGCTACCAACTACTTACTGAGCGCTAGTACGCACCAACCGTCATATCTGTCCGATCTGTAACTGATTGTGTTGAAGTAAGCCGCTTAATCAGCTGCAGCTGCAGTAATCGGAATTAACGGGCAAACAAATGATGATTTACATGAGTCAATATCGTATGTGTATGCCGTATGCCTATTTAGGACATGATGGGTATAATTATAGTATAATAGTAGTTGCTTTGTATTCTTAAAATGTTTTAAAAATAAAAACATATTATGTTCTTGTTATTACAAATTTTTGTTTAACAATATGGTAATAAATTATAAACAAATAAGATTTGAGTCCTAGTCCCAGCATCAGTATTTATAATAATTACATAGTAAAATTGTAGTATTAAATAATCAGCATGCACGTAGTCATCCATATACGAATAGTCTGATCAGAAACAATTGTTTTCTAAAATATTCTTCATACAACATAGACAAGATAGATAAAATGTAAATACGATATAGCTTACATCACTCGAATCACACTAATAGTATAAACTATAATGACAAACTGACTATTTTATTAACTAATCACATGAATATCGACGATGTGTGTGTGTGGTAATATAATACTATAATTGTATTCTCGTCTGAACTTTAAATAATAAAACATATCTACTAAAACCTACTTACCTACCTATCTCCTATAATTAATTTAAATTTTTAGCATCAAAATTTATTTTCTATGATTTAACTATACTAAATAAATCATTGATAGTATAATATTATTTAATTTTTATAAGTCAGTTAAGTTTAATATAACTGAATAAATATGATAAACCGTATTTCAATCCCCAAAACTCGTTTCTCTGTTAACTTAGAAAATCACAATATATTCGTGTTACAAAAAAACATTTTTTTATCAACCTGCGAATTTTGTACTGTATATGACGTTACGTAATGAAAACTATGTTCAAATATAATTTTACTATCCGCAGACTATTTCGTGTCGTTGAACGAATTACACAAAACAATTGCGTACCCATCATACAACATCTGACGAGAGAAGTTTTTTCGAAAATATAAAATATAATCGAATATACGATTTATAGAAACGTAAGGGACCCTTTTTGCATTTCAACGAAAAATAAAAAAAACCACCTATACCACTAAATAAAAACCTTTGTGGAATAAAAAAAAAACTCCGTGCCCCGCCTGACATATTCCACGTAGGTAAAGCAGTTGTCGTAATTGATTCGGGAGGGCACGGTATTTGTGCACAACGGGAGCAGCGTAGAATATATTATAATAGCAAATTTTAATATATCAGCGGTGTCCAGTTCAGTAGTTGGAATAAATCCAAATTTTAAACGAGAGATTATGCAATAATAATAATAATAGTGAAGGTACAACATTGTGGTTATAACAATATGGCTAGAATCCCACACGACCAACGAGTTTTCGTATGATAATCTATTACATTATTATTATTATTATTATTATTATTATTTACTTGCGAGTGCGATAAACAGATACAGTCCGAAGGGCATGTCCATGAACGCACCGAGTCGGCAGTTACCATTAAAATCAGCGTCATCAAAGCTTGCATGCCGTTCATTTTTCTGAAAAACAAAAAAAGTTTTCAAAAGATAAAAATAAAAGTTTAAAAAACACGATTCAAATTCATTCACCGCGTGGTGACATTCTATTCCCGCAAGACGCGTACGCCCGCAAAGTACCGGTATGGCTCGCTCGCGTCGTATATTATACAGTAATATTGTGTTTTTGTGTGTGTTTTCTCTTTCTTTTTGGAATGTTAAGTTTTTAGGTATTGCGACCAAACGAAAAGGCTTTCGGACGACTTGTTAAATATGTATATAGGGTTGTGAACTTGTGAAGTACAAATATAATGGAGTGGTGGAAAGAGTTTGTGTATAGTTAAGACGGCCGTTGACAAAATAAAATATAAAAAATAAAAAATACTGAGGCGTATTCGATGGTGTTGGACAATCCCGAAGCGTCACAGTTTGACGAGGTAAAACTTTTCTCGTGCATATATAGGTACACTATACTCGCCTCACGTGTACAAAGTTGACCGGGCCGTATGTGAATAAATGTGCACAGATAATAAATAAAAAAGTTCGCTGCATTTTAATATAAGTAATATAGGTACCAGTTATCTATACATAAATTGTGCAGTGTAAATTTACATCAGTACGTGTAAACCATGCCCTGCAACTGCAACGCAATATCATACAGCATGATTAAAAAATAATAGTAATCTCTATTTGAAATTTGAATCTTTTTACCACACAATAATTTTAATTTTAAATTCCCTTTAATACTATAATTCGTTATTCAAATAACGTTTTAGAAAATTGAAACATGTACCTAGGTAGTTTCTGAGTTATTAAATTTTATGAACTAATAAGAATAAAGATAATAGTAAATAACAATAAAATAGGGCTATTGCATCTGTTTAATATATTTTATTTATAGGTATATTCTGCCTAGTCCACGTATATCTTATCGTAATCATATTACACTTGATTGATCCTTAAATTATAGGTGTAAAAAAATCCAAATATAAACAACATTGAGTGTAATAGTGGGTATATTATAAACTCAACAAATTTAAATAATTTAAATGTTTGATAAATTCTTAATTGAGTTGTGTGGCGTTCTATAAATGTGGATGACACCACTGCAACGGGCCTCTCACCTTAATCATGTTGATCTTTTGAATAGTTGTATATTATAATATTCATACGACATTATTGCCATGATATAATTATTATTTTTATGTTTTTCAAAAGTCTGTAAATTATACTATTTCAGTAAATGAAAAATAAAGGCGAACGTGGTTAATATAATGATTCACCCGGTATACATCTAACTACATGATAATATTATATAGGTATTGTATATGAGATATGACAAACGCATTATGTGCAGGTACTCGACTTATCTTACACACTCCTACCCCGCATGTGAAGGAGCGGGCGCGGGGTATTTGCAGGCTCGCGAGAATATTGTGAATAGATCCGATACACATTATTATACACACAGTTACAGACAATGGTCCATCATGGAAAACAATAAATAGTGTCATCGTGCTCAAAGGTACCTACGCGTCACTCCATCCCCGCGGCTCCACATGCACGCCGCACACAATTCGATATCATCCCCTTTGGCGTTTTTCTACGATGATCATTATAATTTACGCGCGCATCCCATTATAATAAGAAAAAAATTGTATTTATATAATATACGGGGTGATTTTCTCTTACGCCGCTATCCCGTAGCAGACAATATTTCGGACAAAGAATTTTTTACTCTTAAACAATAAACATATTATTATTAAAATCTTGCATAGTAATATTGTGTTACCTACATGTTTTCACGAGCCGGTGTTTGCAGTTCTCAAAATCTTAAATGACATTTTTCGTAAGATATATCCTGATACGCGGTAAGAAAAAAAAATATCGTTCTATACACCATAATACACAGACGCACTGAAATTGTACGCACACATTTGCGTACTCTGACAACATGGGTGAGCGGTATATACTCGTCAGATCTATGCGTGCTCGAGATCCACTCTTTATAAAACTTGCGTAAGGTGAAAACCACTTGTACTCTATTGTACATATTATTATGAATGTATTAAAATACATAGACGTTAGACATTTTTTATTTTTTTTGCTTTTTTACAATTATTAATGGTTTCGCATAAAGTCATTTTAGCAATTTTAAATCTCCTTGCAGTTGGTACTACAAAGCACAAACTACTATTGCTACTATATTAATTACCGTGGTGATCACATAACCCGTTTATGTAAAGTGCCAATCAATAATTGATTTACATTTCAATTTTAAGTGTGTCCTAAAGTTTAAATTTTATCGAATATGTTAACAATAAATATTTAGAGTGAAAAAAAAAATAATAATAATGGGCTATTATCAAAAAAAATCAACTTTGATATTTGCGACTTACAAGGCATGACATTTTCAATCAATCCCTTTTTGTTTTGAATTAAACGTTTTAAAAACACGAAACTCAATACTTTTGTGTGTTCCGTATCCTTTAATATCACGTACATATATCATTGTTTTATGTTATCTACTCTGTGTAATTACAAATCGTGGTAAAAGTAAAAGTTTCAATATCTCACCAACAAAGTTCAGTTCTCGCTAAATTATAATATAACATATCTCGTTATGGTAACAGTTATTCCAGTCCATTGTTGTCTAATCGTATTATATAGTACAGTTGCTGGAATTGTAAACGATAAATACGGTGCTGTTGCGTTATAGTAATGATACGATTCAAAAAAACCATTACTCTGATACCTATTTTGTTATATGTTTATCTCATGCAGTCTTTATTAATTTTCTGCACAAAATATTGTGTATCATAAACTATCGTTCCTCAATTTGATACATTTGGTTGCCGGCTTTCGCACCGAATAATAATAATAAATATTAAAGAGGTTTAAGTTTAGTCAAAATAATCTCAAGTTACTAGAACACATCATAAATGAACGGAAAACAATAATATCAAAAAGATTATGGTTCACGAAACGTTGTAGCCGAATTATTAAAATACAAGTGGAGAATAAGKGGTAACCGGTAGGTATTCACGAGATCTTATATTAGAGTAACAGCTTTAAAAAAAAAAAAAAACCGTCTAGAGTTCGCCAACGCAATAATACATACACATTTTTTTTTTTTGCATCCCCTTACTCGGCCGTTTGTTGTCAGCGAAGTTTAATCTTGTACCAGTTCCGGAATTAGCAGAAGCTCCTTTATGTATAAATTTGATTGTTTTATATTCCGTCGTCCTCGAAAATGGCACGCGGTGCAGAAAAAAAAGAGACAGAGAAAGCAAGAGATGGAAATACGTTATACTTATATTACGGAAAAAATAAACAGAAACAGAAAAACGTTTACAATATTATTAAGGTAATACCCGACTCGTTTTATTGTCTTCATTACGCGAGCATTTTACTCGTATAACCGTACCTACACACTTTACATCCTTCCCACCCCAACCGACAGACCATGTCATATTTACTGTGCCCGGTCCGTTATTTTATATATGTATACTAAATCGAATTTCTGGTCTTTTTCCTTTTATTTTATACTGCTCGGCGGTGGGTTGTTGCTGTTTTATAAGTATTTTATATTAAAAACGCACGACAATTTATTTACCCACTGTATGCTTTCCACAAGTTAATTAAGAAAAAAGCTGAAACATATCTACTACAAATGTACTTACATTGTGTGCGTGTGTGTGTGTGTGTGTGTGTGTGTGTGTGTGTGT